TTAGTTGCATATTTAAAATGACTTCAAGAATTTATCTTTAATTAATTAATGGTGCGAGCTTACCTTGCGAATTATGCATAATATTTGATGACGATGGTGCGATGTAATTTGACATTGGTAATACCCCTGAATGCGAGAATGGTGTAGCAAAAGTATACTGTGACACGGGAAATGTTGATGGCATCGAATATTGTAGGCAAGGAGGCGGAGGCTGCATTGAGTAGTTTTGCTGTTGAGCTTCATGAACGTGGACAGCGCTCTCTTGCGTACCAATATGTCGTCCAGTAGGTCTCCTTCCTTTGCTTGATGCTGTCTATAAATTTATGTAGTGTGAAAGTATTCATTACAATCAAATATTTGGATCTGTGTATTTTTAATAAATTAAATTAAATTTACCTTTGTGTTCTTCGAACTTGACTCTAGCGGACCTTTTTTCCTCAGTTTTTTGGGCACTCCCTTTCTACGCGACGATTTCATATCTTTTATGCTCACGCTGGCATCGTTCTGGGAGTCGGTACACTGATCGGCTACTTGAATAGTATGATGTGTGATCGCATTGCTTCCACTGTGCGATGTTTTCAACATCAAAAGATCTTTGCACTGAAGTTTTATCCAATCTAGTATCACACGCGATTGCCTTTCATCGTCTGTAGCAAGGTCAGCCAATTTTGCAAACTCATGACACAGTTCATCATATCTCAATTGCCCAGGAGAGCTGATCAAACCATCATAATTCACGGCGACTCTGGTGTGTGCCCGACTAACGTCTCTTCTCCATCTCCGCAGTATGTACCTCTTTGGAAAGGATGTGACATCGCAACGAATAAGAACTGCAATCGAATGGCGACAAAGAATTCCCCTAAACTCGAACAAATGGCAACTACAAACGATGTCACAGTTCTCTCTCTCAAATGAGACGAAGAATGTTTTTTTCCTTCGTCGCCCCTCATGCATAACATCCTCGTGCACCTCATTTGTCATCAACATATCTCCCTCCAAAGTAGATATGACATCACAGTAAACCTTCCCTGTGAACTCATCCTGAGCTTCCCTGAATTTTGCAATGGTATAAACTGACTGAAATTGTAGCTCAATTTCGTATTGCGCTGCACATGGGACCATTTGCAAAAAAGATTTGAAATTACTTTGGAACTCTTTCTCTACCTTACATCGCAGTGCTCGTTTGTACTGTTCTACAAATTGCTTCAACGTGGTCTTCAAATGCACGTAACCATCAAAGAACGCATTCATACTCTCG